TTGGAATTTTTAGTAGGGATAGGGTTTCTCCATGTTAGTCAGGCTGGTCTCGTCTGGAACTCTCGACCTCAGGTGATCCGCCTGCCTAGGCCTTCCAAAATGCTGGGATTATAGGTGTAAACCACTGTACCCGGCCATCATCCCCTCCCTCCCTCCCTCCCTCTCTCTCTTTCTTTCTTTTCTTCTTTCTTTCTCTCTCTCTCTCTCTTTCTTTCTTTCCTTTCTTTTTGTTTTCTTTCTTTCTTTTATCTTTCTCTCTTTCTTTCTTTCTTTTCTTCATTCTTTCTTTCTTACTCTGTCACTCAGGCTGGAGTGCAGTGGCATGATCACAGCACACTGCCACCTCGACTTCCTGGGCTCAAGCAATCCTCCTACCTCAGGCTCCCAAGTAGCTGGGACCACAGGCACATACCAACACACCCAGCTAATTTTTGTATTTTTTGTAAGAACAAGGTCTTACTATGTTGTCCAGGCTGGTCCCAAACTCTTGAACTCAAGTGATCCTCTAGTCTTGGCCTCCCAAAATGCTGAGATTACAGGTGTGAGCCCCTACATCTGGTCTGAAATCTTCTTCGCCTCCTCCCCCACACCATCAGCCCCTACCTCAACGGCCCCTTCCATGGTACACCTGCGTCCTGGCTCAGTCAGTAGCACCCTCCCATCCGCCGTTTCCGCCTAAAGCATCCGCTCTCAGAGCACCGCCTCTTGTCTTTACACACGTTCCCTCTGTGCCCTGAACTCCCATCATGTTTTGCCTCTTGCCGTCTGCCACCGGGGCACATTCCTTGTCCTTCCCCTCCCGTGTCCTCTGCTTACTCAGGTTCCAACCTCATTGTCTGCTGCAGACGCCCTCGGTCACCCTGCCCTCCCCCTCCTCCATCCACCTGGAGAACCCTAGTCCCCATTGAGTCCTGGTGCTGCTTGTTGCTGTCTGATATCCAAGCAGCAGAACCTGCCTGGACAAAGCCGCCTGATGGCACAACCGACTTTATCTCATGACCTAGACCTCCAGCAAACAATCCGTGCTGTCCAGCAATCCCGGGTCCCGCTGGTCAGCTTGCAGCCCCTGTCTCCTAGACCACAGCTTCTTTCTCTCCCCAAACCTCCAATACTCCACCTCCCTCAGCCCTCGGCTCACTCTCAGATGATAGGTTGCTTTTTTTTTTTGAGGCAGGATCTTGCCATGTTGCTGAGGCTGGAGTGCAGTGGTGTGACCATGGCTCACTGCAGCCTCAAACTCCTGGGCTAAAGTGATCTTCCCTCCTCATCCTCCTGAGTAGCTGGGACTACAGGTCCACACCACCATGCCTGGCTTTTTTCTTTTTTGTAGAGACGGGGTCTCACCCTGTTGTGCAGGCTGGCCTCAAACTCCTGAGCTCAAGAGATCCTCCTGCCTTGGCTTCCCAAAATGCTGGGATTACAGGCATGAGCTTCACTGCAAACAGAGGCAATCAGAGGCGTTCCTGGCCCTGCACTCACCAGCCTCCCTGGGTGATCCCCTGGGTGACTGTCCCTCCCCTCATGTGCATCAGCCCATGCCGTCCCTCCTCTCCTGCCCATCAGTTGTCATCCTTGCCTGGGCCCCATGCGCCCCACTTCCTCTTCCACCTTCCCGAGGCTTCCCTCCACCATGGCCCCATCTCTCCTGCATCACCGGCTGTTTCCTTTCCTGGGCCAACCCCATGAGCATGCAACAAACATGCAGGGATGCCCCCAGACTTTAAGAAGCCACCCTCTGACCCCACGATCCCTTAGCTTCCGCTGTGCTTATTTGATCCCCTTCTAGCACATTCCCTTGGAAGGGTGGTCTCTGTGCTCTCTCTCCACCCCTCCTCCCTGCATCCCTGTCATCCCCTAGGCCCACCGAAGTTGGGCTTCCAGGCCTGCCCTTCCACCCACACAGCCCTTGCCAAGGTCAGCAGTGACCACCACAGTCCTCCACCTGCCAGCAGCCTCGGAGGTGGCTGCTCGCTCCCTCTGTCTGTGAACATGCCCTTCTCTTGGCCCCAGGACATGGCTTTGCCTCCCTGTCTCTCAAGTGCTCCTCTTGTCCCTGGTAACCTGCCTGCCTGCCCTCTTCCTGGGAGAGCTCTTCCATCCCAGGGCCTGAGTCCCAGATTCCTCCCCGAAGTCCAGCTCCCCCCACCCCGCTGCCACCTCCAGGCCTGCACTCCCAGGGCATGGGCTCCTCCATCCTCACACTTCATGTTTCCCAAACCCCATCTGCCCCACTGTGAAACACTAAACCCGCTCCTCCCACAGCAAATGGAAACCGTGTGCTCTGCTTCCTCTGACCCAAGCTCCTGGAGTGACCCTTACTCCCATCTCCTTGTTACATCCCATAATGGGTGCTTTTCTTTTTTTTTCTTTTTGAGACAGGGTCTCACTCTGTCACCCAGGCTGGGGTACGGTGGCGCAATCACAGCTAGACCAGCGATCGTGTGAACTCTCACTTTAAAACACACTTGAGGCCAGGCATGGTGGCTCACACCTGTAATCCTAGCACTTTGGGAGACTGAGGCGGGTGGATCATGAGGTGAGGAGTTCGAGACCAGCCTGGCCAACATATGAAACCCTGTCTCTACCACACGTGGTGGTGCGAGTTTGTAATTCTAGCTACTCAGGAGGCTGAGGCAGGAGAATTGTTTGAACCTGGGAGGTGGAGGTTGCAGTGAGCCGAGATCACACCAGTACACTCCAGGCTGTGCGACAGAGCCATCTCAGAAAAAAAAAAACAAAACAAAACAAAATGAAAACACACACACACACACACACACACACACACACACACGGCCCCAGCCCCTTTCCAGGGGTGCTGGGACCCAGCGCCTGGCCACCCTCACTCCCCTGTAAGAATGAAGCGGTTCCCCAGTATCCCAGCTTCACCTTCTCCACACAGAAGCCAAAAGACCCTTTTTAAAATGCAAGTCAAATCCCATCTCTTGCTGGCTCAGAACCCCCCAGGGGCTTGCAGAGAGGAGGACTCAAAGTCCTCGAAGCCCTCCTGCAGCCCACCGGGCCTGAGTGACCCAGATTCCCTGTTTATGGGCTGACCTCTTGGCGGGCCCCAGGAGGGCAGGGCTGTGTCTGATGGGTCGGGGCTGTCTCGGCACCCAGGCCATGCATCGGTACATATTTGATGGATAAATAAGTGATGGATGGGTGACTGCAGCTTCCCCGGGAGGCCCTGCCTTGGACCCCAGCCCGGCCCAGCCCAGCCTCCGCGTGTCCCTGCCTGCCTGGGCCTGCATCTGGCCACTCCACTCCCCCCACCTCCACCAGGTGTGCTGCCTCAAAAACTGTTGGTTCTGGTTGCCAATCTCTTAGCAGAGAGGGGTGCCCCAGGGACCAGGGGTTTGTGGTACCTGAGCGAATCTCCTCTTGCTGCCCTGGGCACCCTGCTGGGTCTCTCTCCGTCATCTCCCCCATCTAGTGGGTGGGGCTAAGGGAGCAAAGACCAAACCCACAATCTGGCTACACCCTTCTTCCAGCCAACCAAGCACCAGAAAACCAAGATTTGCACAAAGAGCTGGTGGCCTGAAGTGGGTCCCTCAGGCTCCTCAGTATGCTCTGCAGCAGGGCCAGCCACTTGTCCCATTCTGGGAGCCATGTGTGGTAAGGGATCAAAGTCCCAGATAACTCCACACTGCCTTGCACAAGCCTAGCTTCTCACTTTGGACATCTACATCGCACCACTTGGGGTCATTCGCAGCCGGTGAGGTGACTGCGTGAGGGCAGGGCTGGATCTAGAACCCCCTGGTCTCTCCCCCGGGCACGGTCCCCACATCTCCTTTCCCAGTGATGCTCTGGTTCCCAGAATCTTTTTGGCCAGCTGCAGAATGGCCATTTATCTCGGGCTTAAATTTCCCACCTGCCCCTTTGACCTCCCAGGCCTCTCCAGCGGGGCCAGGGAGCCAGGATTGTGCTGTCGGGGCTTGTCTCTGGGGCTTGGGGGCGCTGCCCACAGTGAGGACCTGCTATGTGCCAGGTGCCTTCTGCCCAGTCCTCACAGCAGCCCTGCATCTTCACAAATGAAAAAACAGGCCAGGCGAGGTGGCTCACGCCTGTAATCCCAGCACTCTGGGAGGCTGAGGCAGGTGGATCACCTGAGGTCAAGAGTTCTAGACTAGCCTGGCCAACATGGTGAAACTCTGCTCTATTAAAAACACAAAAATTAGCCTGGCATGGTGGTGGGTGCCTGTAATCCCAGCTACTTGGGAGGCTGAGGCAGGAGAATTACTTGAACCCAGGAGGCAAAGTTGCAGTGAGTGGAGATTGTGCCACTGCACTCCAGCCTGGGCGACAGAGCGAGACTCTGTGTTAAAAAAAAAAAAAGAGGCCGGGCTCGATGGCTCATGACTGTAATCCCAGCACTTTGGGAGGCCAAGGCAGGCGGATCATGAGGTCAAGAATTCGAGACCAGCCAGGCCAACAAGGTGAAACCCGTCTCTACTAAAGATATACAAAATTAGCTAGGTGTGGTGGTGTGTGCCTGTAATCCCAGCTACTCGGGAGGCTGAGGCAGGAGAATTGCTTGAATCTGGGAGGCGGAGGTTGCATGAGCTGAGATCGTGCCATTGCACTCCAGCCTGGGTGATGGGGCAAGACTCTGTCTCAGAAAAAAGAAAAATAAGAAAAGAAAAAAGAAATGTCCCTGGTTAGGGCCACAGGGGGATGTGGCAGGAGCCATCTCCTGGGAGGGGGTGGTGCCTGGGCGGTGCCAGGATGGAGAGATGCGTCTGCCTCATGAGGGTGGGCAGACAGGCCCTGGTCCAGGAGCTGAACTGAAACAGAACTGTCCATCTCTTCTCATTTATAGATTAAATTGAACTAACTCAGAAATTCTCCATTTTAAGTTTCTTTACTTAAAAGTTTCTTATATGTTTAACACCTGCCAGTACATATATGTACATGATATTCAGTAATGATCAGTGCAAGCTGGGCATGGTGGCTCATGCCCGTAATCCCGGCACTTTGGGAGGCTGAGGTGGGAGGATCACTTGAACTCAGGAGGCTGAGGCTGCAGTGAGCTGTGATGGTACCGCTGCCCTCCAGCCTGAGTGTCAGAGCAAGATCCTGTCTGTAAATTGTAACAGTAACAGTGATAATTGTACCACCTATACACGTTCCATCCATACCTCCCCGGTATTGTGCACTCTCCATACAAAGGTATGAAAATTCCCAGAAAACCTGTGCTTGCTCAGTGCTATCTGGCCTATTTGGCAAATGCAGAAATAGGCTCACAGAAGGGATGTCACTTGCCAAAAGCCACACAGCCGGCATGGGGTGGCACTGAGACGCACACCCGGGTCTGGGCAGCGTTAAAACCCCTGCCCCACCCGTGGCCCTCCCCATCTCCATGTTAGCATGGAGCCCTGGGATGTTTGGGGAGCCGGTTTTCTGTTTCTGTGTGTGTTTGTGGAGATTGCCCTGATCTTTCAGGCATTCTGCCCTGGAGAGCCCCTTGGGGCGGGGGCTTCCTGTCTCTCTTGCTAGGACATGGCCTTGGGGCTAAGGCCAAGAAGAGTCAAGGTGGGAGGGGAGTGGGGTAGGTGTGGTGGGATGCTTGGGGGCTGCCCCTCCAGCCTCAGACATGCCCGGAGTCTGCCCAGAGCCCCTCGCTGGGCCCTGGCTGAGCCACTGCCAAGGGCTGATTCTCATCTCCTAACTGATTCTGCCAGCTGGAGCCAAGGTGGACTCTCCCCATAGTCTGGGACGAGTGCCCAGGACCCGGTGGTGTCTCTGAGCTTCCTTGTGTCACCTTCTCCCCACCCAGCACTCCTCACATGCTGCAGGGAGGTGCGCTTGGGTCTTGGAGAGTGTGGCCTCAGTCCCCTGGGGCTTCTGAGTGCATCCAGGCTGCTCTGCTGACCCTAGAAGGTGACCCAGGAAGCTGTGAGGTCAGGGGGAGGGATGGGCGGCAAGAGCAGGTCACAGCCCAGCTGTGACCACCTATGTGGACAGAAGCCTTCCTGTCTCCACTGCACGAAGGTAGTACTGAGGCCACGGATGGATTTGCCACCTGTGACATACGCCACCAGCCTGTGTGTCTGTGCCCCCATACTGCCACACAGTGCGGAGCAAGGGCTGCCCAGGACCGGTGCCGTGGGGAAGTGACGGAGGAGCCAGTCCTGCTGCAGGTGAGACTAGGTGGGGACGTCCTGGCCCCTCCTGCATGTTCTGCATGACTGCCCGTTTTAATTCACACATCCCTTTCTAAGACTTATAATCGCATTTCTCATAAAGGAAAATATTAGCACAGGGGGTGATTGTGATCCAACTCTGTGGCTCCACTTACAAATTGAGAGGGTGGTCAGCGGGGTTCCGCTTTCGAGAGGTCCCGAATGGCAGGACAGCGCTACAGACATCATGATCCTCAGTGGGACGGTGTCCTGCCTCAGAGAGGCCACCGAGGGCTGGCAGAGGGAACCTGGAAGGCAGGTGGGGTTGACTGAGACGTGCCAGGCCAGGAGGGAATGCCAGGGGAGAGGCTCTGGAGAAAGTGTGACATGTGGCGCATTTGTGGGGAGCGGACCGGCCGGTCCAGGAGCACAGGGCGGAGGGCTGTGGTCAGCCCGTTCCAGCAGGAGGACATGAGTCAGGCCTGTCCAGAGGATTTCCGAATCCTCTCCTGGAAAGAGGACCAGGGAGGTACCTGTTTCATGCTGAGGAGGTCATGATAGTGCCCATCAGCATTAGATGCCATCTGGCCCTCACCTCAAAAGGAGCACTGCCCCTGGTTCGCTGGCTTGGGTTTCCCCAGTGTGGGGTGTGCACCCCTGGTGACCTCGGAGAGAGTGGTGTGATCCCTCACACCACACAAAGGTGACTCCCTTCTCGGGCTCAGTGCCCTGGGTCCCTGAGGGGGAGGAACACCACGTCCCAACCCTTTTCTATCAACGGGCCGTTGGCAGGCGACAATAGCCAGCTAGAATTTCCTAACACTGCTTGTTCTAATTGTAATTTATTTTTACTTTTACCTATTTATGGCCCGTGATCTTAGTGTTTTCCCATCTAACACGGTCACATAAAGTTCCCTTATGGAGGTGTCTACTTAAGTAATGGCAGGGAATGCGTTTAAAGAAAGATGGAAAGCAAATAACAGAAGAAGGCGCCACTGGAAGGGCTGGGTTGGGAAGAGGCAGCACGCGGACCTGTGGGTGGCATCGGTTTCCCTAACCCATGGATCAGGAATCATATTTGACTCTTGTTTTGTTAACGTTTGTTCTGATGGGAAAGGAAGCTGTGGGTAAGGACACATTTGGCAGGAGGGGTTCGGATGCGGCCAGCTCATCCTTGTAAACCCCCACTACTGTCCCCTCAAACCTGTCTGAGGCTTGCAGTCCTGTGAGACCTCGCCATATTCTGCGACAGAATCCGAGATAGAGGTGAAAGTGAGGAAGTACACTGTGGCCGTTGAGGCAGCTTTCTGTAAATCGCTGCCTGGAGGAACACATGATACCAGACCATCCTCTTTGCAAAGAAAGTGAGGTTGACCTACGATATCATCGTAACATGACTTTTAGCTCAGGTGAGTTCGGGCTTCTGCTCCTGGAGCTCTGGCTCATCCCGCCTCGAGCTCCCCAGCCCAAGGCTCTCCAGGTGCCTTGGGTATCCTCCTTTCAGGGCGGTGGCATGGGACCCTCCAGCTGCTGGTCTGTTCCAACCTGGGAGGGCCTAGGTGTGGAGCGGTGACTGGCAGGCCGGGCTCCCTCCCTCCCTCTTGTTGCAGGCCCGGGGCATGGCTGGCTGTGGCCGTTCATCTCGGCCTCCAGGCCCACCACACAGAACACACAGAAGCTGGGCCCACCCCTGCCCTCCACCCAAAGGGTCACGGGAGCGGCTGTCTGACTTTGAAGCCCACTCACTTGCAGCTGACAGGAGAAAAGGTATTCGGAATTAAGTGAAGGGTGGGGGATGGGGCAAGCTAGGCCTTGGGGTCACATAGCTGCAGGCACCTGGATTGTCGCTGCATTGGCCGCCGTCCCTTACTTTTCAGGGTTCTGTGGTGGGCTAGAGCAGGGAATATGATGATTATTTCAAAACATTTCTTCCTTTTTTTTTTGAGACTCTGTCGCCAGGCTGGAATGCAGTGGCGCAATCTCAGCTCTCTGCAACCTCTGACCCAGCCTCCCGAGTAGTATTTTTAGTAGAGATGGGTTTTGCCGTGTTGGCCAGGATGGTCTCAATCTCCTGACCTCAAGTGATCTGCCCGCTTCGGCCTCCCAAAGTGCTGGGATTACATGCTTGAGCCACCGCGCCCGGTCTTATTATTTCATAACGTTTCGTCCTTGCTTATGTTTAGCCCCTCAAACGGTGTCTGCATGACGTTGGACTGCCAAGGGCTCCCGGACCCCTGCAGCCAAGGTCCCCTGGCTTGTGATGACTCTGGGGGGCAGCGGGGCCCGTCCTGGTGCTGAGGAATCTTTCCTGACTTCCTTTTCCTCCCTCTCCTCCCCAGGGCCTGGCTTGGCCTGTGCCCTCCATTTTCTACCCCCCTGTTCTGGGAATTGTGGGTGCCCCCAAAGCAACTTCCTGGGGAGCCATGCTCAGCAGGTTTGGGGGGCACTCAGGGGCTTGCCTTTTGTCAGACTCCCCGGTGGCCTGGTGCGGGGACTCTGGGGACCACATTTGGAAAACATGGGCCCCCCAGTTTTTGACTAGCACATGAGGTGCCGCACTGAGGGGCCATTGTCTAGTGTTTAGTGCAGAGCTGACTGGAGAAGTGGGAGGACTAGGCCCTGGGATGGGAGCAAGGTGGGCACAAAGGGGCTGCCACCCCCCAGGATCTCCTGGGTTTCACCAGTGCCTGCAAGGGGCCCCTGGAGCTCACCTTGTGAAAACGCAGGTGTCCGGTCATACCCCAGGGGCTCTGATTCACAGGATGGGCCAGGCCAGAGAATCTGAATTTCTTTTCCCTTTTTTTTTTTTTTTTTTGAGATGGAGTTTTGCTCTTGTTGCCCAGGCTGGAGTGCAGTGGCATGATCTTGGCTCACTGCAACCTCTGTCTCCTGGGTTCAAGCGATTCTCCTCCCTCAGCCTCCTGAGTAACTGGGATTACAGGCATGTGCCACAACACCTGCTAATTTTGTATTTTTAGTAGAGAGGGGGTTTCTCCATGTTGGTCAGGCTGGTCTTGAACCCCTGACCTCAGGTGATCCACCTGCCTTGGCCTCCCATAGTGCTGGGATTACAGGCATGCATGAGCCACTGCACCCAGCCAAGAATCCAAATTTCTAACAAGTTCCTGGGCAAGGTCAATGCTGCTGGGCAGGAGGACCACACTTTGAGGACCACAGGTGGACACCGGCAGCTGCAGACCCAGCTGGGACCAGGGCAGAGGCCAAGTCCTCCCCATTCCTCGGGAGCTGCCTCAGCCGCATGGTGATATCGACGTGGCATCTGCATGGGGGGACCGGAGTTCATCCTCGCTGAGTGCATCTTCCTTCATTTTACAGGTAAGAAAGCTGAGGCTCAGCGAGGGCAAGTGACCTGCACAAGGTCACACAGGCAGAGAGTCAGGGAATGGGTGGCCAAGCCCAGACCTGCCCGGCTTCACGTTCATGATGTGAGGGGTCCAGTGGCTGTGGTGTCATGTCTGGTTACCTAGTCCCCATCATTTAGAGGGGAACGAGGTGGAGAACTAGGAGTGTGTGTGGCAGGAAGGGACTGGGGGAGAGAAAGGGGCCCAGGAATAGGGGCACATCTGGCATTGAAAGGAGCAGCAGCCCAAAGTCACGTGGTGTCCTCACGTTCAAGGTCATGCTCAAGGTCACGAGTTCACCCCGGGGATCCCGCCTCATTGGAGCTGCAGCAGGCTCCTTCCCCAGGCTTTGGGGGTCTCCTTTGGCCAGGTGATCCCCTCCCTGTCACCACCCCAGGGCACACAGTGCATCAGGCGCACGGTGACACCTGATATTCCACCAAACAGGACACTTCAGGGCAGAGGTGGGACGGCGGGTGGGAGTGAGAGGCCGCAGTGCTCAGCCTCCACTTCCACAGACCCGGCACCCCTAGGTGGACCTAGAGAGGCTCTGGGCGTCCAGGTCTCAGGCCTGGCCTCAGAGCAGAGCTTTGGGCTCCTCTTTCTCCACGTCCACAGCTGCACCGTGCACACCCGCCCCAGTCCTGGGTCTGGGAGCACCTTGGGCTGGCTGTGGAGAGGCTTTACTGGGTTTGAACGGGTTCACCCTGGAGATCCTGCCCTCACTGGAGGTGAGGAGGGGCAGATTGAGAGCAGGAGGGGTAACTGTAGAGAGGAGAGCAGGGGGTGGTCTGAGGGTGGCCAGAGCAGTTTGGGAAGAGCACTGGAGCAGGAGTCTCCTTTAGGGGACTCGGCTTCTCTTTCTGTAAAGGGAAGGGGCAGGGCTGGGCGTCCTGTGGGGCACTGGTGGTCTGATAGGGTGGGGATGCAGTGGGAAGGGGCCCGGTCTGCCCCGGTCTCCAGCCTGTGCCTCAAACCCACCTCCCCTTAGAAGAGGTCCCAGGAGTCACCAGCACCCTGTTCTGACTGCGCCGACAGAGGCTGTGTCTGCTGCAGCTGGAGGTGCAGGGCCAGCCATGGTCTGCGCACGTGAACCCCTCGAAGCACAGAGGCTGATGCATGGCAAGGGCTCATTTAAACGTCACCCGTGTGTGATTACTAGTAATAAAAGCCCTAGAAGCCGGAGGGACTGAGAAGGGCCTGTCTAGGTTGGGGGTCCTTTCATTAGGAGGGAGCTGGTGCCAGGCACCCTCTGCTGACAGCCACGCAGGGACTTTGAGTTTTCTCTTTCTAGGCACTGACTGGGACATCTCCACAGCCCCCTCTGCCCTGGGATCACCTGCCACCTCTGTGTGAAAGCATCAGCCAGGAGTCCAAGAACTTCCTTCTGGAGCCTCACACCCCCAGCGTGGAGCCTGGCAGGGAACAGATTCTCTCCAAACCTTTGTGAATGAATGAAGGATGATGTCACTCGAATCCATCCCCGTTTTATATTTTATTTTTATTTTTAAATTTTATTTTATTATTATTATTTTTTTTGAGATGAAGTCTCACTCTGAGATTCAGAGACAGGAAGCCACTTACCAGGGGCACACAGGAGGAGACCAGTGAGTAGGACCTCTGGTCCATCTGGGAGGCCACCAGGCAGGCCTCTTCTCAGAGTCCTTGGCCTCTGCTTGATGAGCCAGGATTTTTCACCCACTGTGGGCCCAGTGGGCTGAGAGGACATGGGCTAAGTGTCGGAAGCTGCAGAACTGATCCCTCCTACTTGGCTGGAGGCTCGCAGACTCAGCAGGCTGTGGGGGCTGGGGAGGGTGGACGACGCACAAATGCACTCGTGACCACAGGCTCAAGAGTGACAGTGCCTGTCAGGAACCGGGAGGCAGGGCCTGTCTTTTCTTGCTGTTTTATTGCCTTCAAAGTCTGGACCAAGTGGTTTCTGGATGGAGTCACGGTAACCTTGCGTCTGTTCCAGCAATTCGTTCACAAAACAAGGGCCAACATCTCGGTGATGCCTCTGATCCCCCCGAGCCTGTCTGCAAATGGGAAAAGTGTGATTCCATTTATCTCCCATTTATTGAGCACCTGCTACGTGCTGGGCTGGATGGTCTAGCTCAACCTCTACAGCCCACAACTGCTGTCGGTTTTGTGTCTTGTGTTTTTCACTTGATAGTGTATTGTGCGCATTTTCTTGTGTCCCAAAGGTCCTTGTGAGAGATGGTGTCTGGAGAGCGGGTATCGCAGGGGCCTGCTGCCTGGCTTACCTCTTCCCAAACTGGGGCTCCTCTGTGCTGCCTCCTCTCTGTCCAGCTCCTCCTTCGAGGCCTGGCTTAATTCTACCTCCTCCACAAAGCCCTCCGTTCCCTCGCTCCGGGCCAGTGCGGTCTCCTTTGCAGTCACTGGCTCTCTCCTTGCCTTGCCTCCCCCTGGCCTCCTAACCTTCTCCTTCTCTCTCATGGGGTGATGCCTTTTCTCTTCCTCTACATGCATTAGGTCTGAGCTCAAAGTCACCTTGTCAGAGCCCCTCCCTGGACCACCCTGTGTGATTATCCTGTGGGCTTGTTCCTGCGTTTGTCCCTGAGCTCACAGGGTCTGGTTGTTCGGTAGAAGGACTCCTGTAAAGGTGCTGGGTAACCGAAAAACACAGAAGATCTAGCAGTAAAAATAAAAGAAAGACCAGGCGCGGTGGCGCATGCCTGTAATCCCAGCTACTCAGGAGGCCGAGGTGAGAGGATCACCTGAGGTCAGGAGTTCGAGACCAACCTGGCCAATGTGGAGAAACCTCTTCTCTACTAAAAATACAAAAATTAGCCAGTCGTGGTGGCACACACCTATAATCCCAGCTACTAAGGAGGCTGAGGCAGGAGAATCGCTTGAACCCGAGAGGCAGAGGTTGTACTGAGCCCAGACCGTACCACTGCACTCCAGCCTGCATGACAGAGCAAGACCCTGTTCCAAAAACAATAAAACAAAATAAAAATATTGCACACTCAGTTAAATATGAATGTCAGATAAGTACCGAGTAACTTGGGATAAATATGGAATGGAATACACAGGCTAAAAATCTGTTTTTACCTCAAATTCAAAGGACACTCAGCATCTTGAATTTAATCTGGCAACTCCAACACCTCCCACCCTCTGCCCCTTGTCAGGCAAGCTCAATAGCGAGGCTGTGTGCCCCGCCCTCCGCAGGGAACCTGATCTGAAGCACGTGCTGGATCAGTAAGTACCCGTTGCTAGAGCCAGTGATGGGTCCCCGCCCCCGCTGGGGAATCCAGGGGACCCACGCCAGCCCAGCCAGGTGGAATCGTCGGGAACAGAGGGCACCTCCTTCTCTGCAAAGACCAGTGCAAATTAAAAGAAGTTTGAGATGCAGGCTGTTTGATCCAAGAGATGCTTTTTAATTATTGTCAGACAGCTGTGACTGACTGAGCACCTACTGCGTACCTGGCCTCACACTGTTCTCATACGCAACAGCTCTGCAGGAAGCCATTCTTACTGGTATTCAGAGAGGGGCAGACCTGGCCTCGGATCGCACAGCCGGGAGCTGGACACTGAGCTCTCTCCAGCCAGCTCAGGTGCCACTGACTGCAGCACCTCCCTGTGGCACCAGACCAGGGCCTCTGAGGCCGCTTTAAAGAGGTTCTTTGAGAATGGCACACTTACTGGGCAAAGGCTCATGCGTGACCCTGAAGTTCTTGAGCAAGCCACCCTCTCATCACGAAGTTCATTTATTCAGTGCACCCTGTGTTCCCATCCACATTTGGTGCACAGGAGAGCCCCCTGCTCAGGAATTTGGAATTAAGGAGGCTTTGAATGAACGAGGCTCTACTGAATTTAAATTCTAGATGGGGCAGGGAGGGACCAGGTACTGGTGAGCTGTAGATGAGGCAGGGGTTCGAATCCAGCCTCTACTGTTTCTCAGCTCTGTGTCTTTGGACAACTCACTTTCTCTGGCCCTCAATCTCGCCATCTTTAAAGAGGGGGCGAAATGATTTCAGATACCCCAAGGCCCCACGAAGTGCTAGTGACTGAGGTCTGCTGGTGTTGAAGGTGACTGGGAACGGGGTAGGGTCCCATTTTCCCTGGGGGAACCTGGCCCTGTGTCTGAGGTGCCCGTGGCATCTCTGCTAGCTGCACCTGGTTTCTGACTCACCCCAGGGAGCTGCCAGGCAGAGGAAACTGCTCTCCTGGCCTGGGCACCAAGCCGAGGTCAGCCAAAAGCCAGGTTTCCTGAGACCTGCCTTCTAGGCTACGGGCCTGCTGTAGGGGCTGGTGCATGTGTGTGTATGTGTGTTCATATGTGGAGTGCACACGTATGTATGTGTGCATGTGTATGTGCACGTGTACGTGTGTCTGTGTGTGTGCATGTGTACGTGTGTCTGTGTGTGTGCATGTGTGTATGTGTATATATGTATGTGTGTTTGTATATATGTATGTGTGTATGTGTGTACACGTGTGTATGTGTGTATGTGTGTGTCCACGCGTGTATGTGTGTATGTGTATTTGTGTGTATGCGTGTATGCGTGTATGTATGTATGTTTGTATATATGTACGTGTGTGTATGTGTTTACATATATGTATGTGTGCGTGTGCATGTGTGTATATATGTATGTGTACGTGTGTACACGTGTGCATGTGTATGTGTGTACACACGTGTATTTATGTGTGTATGTGTGTGCATGTGTGTATGTGTGTATATATGTATGTGTGTTTGTATATATGTATGTGTGTATACGTGTGTATGTGTGTGTGTCCACGCGTGTATGTGTGTATGTGTATTTGTGTGTGTATGCGTGTATGTATGTGTGTTTGTATATATGTACGTGTGTGTATGCGTGTACATATATGCATGTATATGTATGTGTGTGTGCGTGTGCATGTGTGTATGTATATATATGTGTATGTGTGTACACGTGTGCGTGTGCATGTGTGTACACATATGTATGTATGTATGTATGTGTATGTGTTTATATATGTACGTGTGTGTACATATGTGTATGTATATATGTGTATGTGTGTACATGTGTGCATGCATGTACGTGTGTGTACACGTGTGTATGTTTGTATATATGTATGTGTGTGTATGTATATGTATGTGTGTGTGTATGTGTGTATATGTGTGTGTGTGTGTGTGAGAGAGAGAGATGAGGAGGCATGGGCTGCAGTCTGCACAGAGGTGGGGGTGGGGGCGGGCTCCCATATTTTAAACTCATCACCTGGCTGGGGAAGCGGCTGTCCTTGCTCCAGAAACGTGTCTCTGTAGCTCTATATTCCCAAATTGTCATCACTGTCCCTCACGTGTGCTTGGAATAACACTCAACCTCCTCCAAGGCTCCCAAGGCCCCAGAAGCCTGCTCCTGCCCGAGGCACTCACTTCTGCCTCAACCCCACCCTGTGGCCACCCCGAACACCTCAAATCCTTTCCCTCCTTGCAGGCCTTGGTCTGGGCTGTACCGGCCAGCGGGACTCCTTGTTCTCTCCACTCCATCCCTCTCTTGCTCTGCCTTCTCCAGGAGGCCTTTGTGAATGCGCTGCGGACACGGGCTCTCCCATGAGTGTCTCAGCCCCGTGTTTGCCTCTCCCCAGCCAGGGTAGAGGCTCCTGCATGCTGAGTCCTTATCTGTGGTATGCTGACCCTAGTGGCTAGGCAGGGCCTGGGCCCCAGGACCCCTCCGGATCTGTGGAGAGAAGAAGTCAGAGGGCTGCGTGATTTAAACCCCATGTGTGTGGAGAGAGCCATTCTCCCCGCCACATATCCATCCGTTCATTTGTCCATTCAACCGGCCTGGGCGATCAGGGTTAAAGAGACACTGGCTCCTGCCCTTGTGAATCCTGCTCCAGGTGTGTGTCGGGGGCTGGGGGCGAGGCTGGCACTGGGCAGGTGAGGACCGAAAGCAAACACCACCTGGCGACCTCTCTGTTTTCTCCCACACATTCTCCCTTTCTGGATGTTAAGAGATTAATATATGCAAATACCCTTTTCCTATGGTGGTTTTAGCCTCTCACTCTGTGGATTATGTTACTTGATTTAAATACATCTTCTCCCCACCAACATATACATGTATAAATCCTAAACACTAAATAAAATCCCCTCATTTCCCATGTGCTGCGGAGCTTCTAATCCCAAGTCCTGTGGGCATTTCAGCAGTTAAGATGGTTCATGGGGGCTGCGGAGATTTTATTTGGAATATCAAATACCTGTCCCTTAATGGAGTTTGCTAATACCAGCCAGAGGGGGTCAAGGGAGAAGCTGGAGCTGGAGAGGGGGTGGGAGGAGCCTCTGGAAGGAAAGAGGCGTGTGAGCAAGTGAAGAAAGGTTTGGACCAGATGAGGGGGTCGCACAGCAAGACTGGAGGGGACAGCTGGATCTGGGCGCATCGGAGGCCCGGGCAGGACTGTGGGTTCATTAGAAAACAGTTGAGGAGACCTGGTATGGAGGCTCCACCTGTCATCCCAGTTTGGGAGGCTGAGTCAGGAGGATTGCTTCAGCCCTGGAGTCTGAGACCAAGCTGGGCAACATAGTGAGAGCCTGTCTTTATGAAAAGTAAAAATAAAAAATCAGCTCGTCATGGTGGTGCGCACCTGTGGTCCCAGGTTATCAGGAGGCTGAGGCAGGAGGATTGCCTGAGCCTGGTAGGTAGAGGCTGCAGTGAGCTGTGATTGCACCACTCCACTCTAGCCTGGGAGACACAGTGAGACCCTGTCAAAAAAAAAAGAGAGAGAGAAAGGGAGGAAGGGAGGAAGGGAGGGAGGGATGAGGGAGAGAGAGAAGGAAGGAAGAAAGAAAGAGGGCTGGGCGCGGTGGTTCACGCCTGTAATCCCAGCACTTTGGGAGGCTGAGGTGGGTGGATCACGAGGTCAAGAGATCGAGACCATCCTGGTCAATATGGTGAAACCCCATCTCTACTAAAAATACAAAAAATTAGCTGGGCATGGTGGCGTGTGCCTGTAATCCCAGCTACTTGGGAGGCTGAGGCAGGAGAATTGCCTGAACCCAGGAGGCGGAGGTTGCAGTGAGCTGAGATCGCGCCATTGCACTCCAGCCTGGGTAACAAGAGCAAAACTCTGTTTCAAAAAAAAAAAAAAAAAAGAAAGAAAGAGGAGGGAGGCTGGGCACGGTGGCTCACGCCTATAATCCCAGCACTTTGGGAGGCAGGTGGATCATAAGATCAGGAGTTCTGGACCAGCCTGGCCAACATAGTGAAACCCCATCTCTAATGAAAATACATAAATTAGCCAAATGTGGTGGCATGCACCTGTAATCCCAGCTACTTGGGAAGCTGAAGCAGGAGAATTGCTTGAACCTGGGAGACAGAGGTTGCAGTGAGCCAAGACTGTGCCATTGCACTACAGCGTGGGTGACGGAGTGAGACTCTGTCTCAAAAAAAAAAAAAAAAAAAAAAGAAAGAGAAGGAAAGAAAGAGAAGCAAGCAAGCTATCAAGGAGAGTTTGGGGACAAATCTGGATCTGGCCAAACTTGGGCCTCAGCCTCCTGGCCAAGCAGGAGGGCTCCGGAACCTGAGTATCACCAGGTGGGTCCCTGTACTTCCACAGTCAAGGGACAGAGTCCGGGCTGGCCTTTGGGCACCTGACCAGCAGGTGCATGGTGGAGACTCGCCGATCCTCGCCTGAATGACCCAGGAACTTCCCCACACTGTGCCCGGCACCCTCTGGTCCTCCCCTTTCTTCCTCCAGGAAGACCGCCCCTCCTCGGAGGGAAGGCACAGAGGCCACCTTTAGGATAAGTGTACCAGAGCAAGCCTAGCCTGCACTCCTGCCCCTTACCACCTCCCCCCGCCCCGCCCTGTTCCATACCCCGCTCCCCCCCACCCCACCAGCAAACGTGATGATTTACTTTCTGTGCTCTGCCCTGCTTCCTGTCTCCCTGCCCCTGCTTACTCCCACCCAGATCTGTCACCAGAGTGTCAGCTCCTTGAGGCCAGGGTCTGGATCTGCTCTGTTCTCTGATGCATCCCCTTGGCCTGGTCCAGGCACGGCACACAGTGGACACTCAGGAAATAATTTTGTTGACTGACTGCTTGAACTCCACAAATATTGCCCGAATCCCCTCCTACCCCTGGCCAGGCTCTGGCCAGGAGCTGGCACTCAGAGGCATTGCAGTCTGCGGAACCAGTAACCCCAGACCCCAGACCATCCGCAAGTCCTTCTTGCATTCTTGTCAAACCGAGTCCTGGATTCCAGGTTCTGAGGAAAGAGGTGAGGAAGACCCAGCCTGGCAGGAGGGGGCCCCAGTACCTACACTCAGCCCCTGCTGCCTCACCCCTGCTTCACTGACCGCCTCCCCCGGGAGGTGGCTCCAGAGCAGAGTCAAGGGTGAAGTTAGGGAGTGGTTTTTCTGTTTTGTTTTTTTCTGAGACGAAGTTTCACTCTGTCGCCCAGGCTGGTGCAGTGGCGAAATCTCGGCTCACTGCAGCCTCCGCCTCCCAGGTTCAAGTGATTCTCCTGCCTCAGCCTCTTGAGTAGCTGGGATTACAGCTACGTGCCTGTATTTTTAGAATTTTTTTGTATTTTTAGTGGAGATGAGTTTCACCGTGTTGGTCAGGCTGGTCTTGAACTTCCTGAGACTGTGATCTGCCTGCCTCAGCCTCCCAAAGTGCTGGGATTACGCGCATGAGCCACTGCGCAAGGCCGGCAGTGGTCCCCAGAAGATCTGGGGCACAGCTTCCTTTGGAATCATTGAATCAAAGTGCCAGCCCCGGGCTTGCTGTTCCCTTGTATGTCTCTTTCCCTCCACTCACTCTCAATCTATCTGTGTCTTTGTATGTAAGTGCTGTGGCTCACACCTGTAATCCCAGCATTTTGGGAGGCTGAGGTGGTTGGACTACCTGAGGTCATGAGTGGGCGTGAGCAACATGGCGAGAACCTGTTTCTATAAAAAAAAGCGAAAAATAGCTGGGCATGGTGGCGTGCGCCTGTAATGCCAGCTACTTGGGAGGCTGAGGAGGGAGAATTGCTTGAACCCGGGAGGCGGAGTCTGCAGTGAAGCGTGAATGCCCCACTGCCTGGGTGACACAGTGAGCTCCTGTCTTAAGTAAATAAATACATAAAGTAAGTAAGTGCAAGTCTGTGTTTGGTTTCTCTGTCCCTCCTTTCCTATCCTCCTTGCATTCTCATTATTACTATTTAACGAGTGCTTAAATGATTGTAACACACACCCCTAACTTTTCATAGTTAACTTAGAGTTAACGTGGGGCCATTTTGCACCAAATGTGGGAACCTGCAACAGCTCAGGTCCATGGCGGCTGCCCTGCGTCCCCCACACCAGCATTGTCATGTGTATGTAATTTCTGCTTTAATAAACCTATATATGTTACAGAAGTTAAGAAGAAAAAAAGACCTTTTCTTTTTACCCAGATGTTTGTCATTTCCAATGCTCTTCCCAAAGATTTTTTTTTTTTGAGATGGAGTCTCACTCTGTCGCCCAGGCTGGAGTGCAATGGTGCGATCTTGGCTCACTGTAACCTCCGCTTCCTAGGTTCAAGTGATTCTCCTGCCTCAGCCTCTAGAGTAGCTGGGATTACAGGTGCCTGCCATCAAGCCTGGCTAATTTTTTGTATTTTTAATAGAGATGGGGTTTCACCATGTTGCTCAGGCTGGTCTCGAACTCCTGATCTCAGATTATCCATCTGCCTCAGCCTCCCAAAGAGCTGAGATTACAGGGGTGAGCCACCATGCTGGCCTACTTTACATTTATTCTTAAAGGATATATTTTGCTGAATATATAATTATTGGATTGAAGTATCTTTTCTTCCTCTTTATTTATAATATTTTATTTTAATTTTTTAAAGAGACGGCATCTCACTATGTTGCCCAGGGTGGTCTCAAACTCCTGGCCTTGAGTGGTCCTCCTGCCTCAGCATCCCAAAGTGCTGGGATTACAGGTGTGAACCACCACATCTGGCTTCCTCCTTTCTAAAAAGGTTTCTTGGCTGGGCAGGGTGGTGGGCACCTGCAATTTCAGCATGAGAATCACTTGAACCCGGGAGATGGAGGTTGCAGTGAGCCAGGATTGCACCTCTGTGCTCCAGCCTGGGAGACAGTGAGACTATGTCAATTAAAAAAAAAATGGAAATAATTATAGATTTAGAGAAAGTTCCAAAAATAGTACAGGGAGCTCTGGGCACCCTCAGCTAGTCTCCCCCGGCGGCATAGCTTACATAATAGTGTAATATCACAACCAGGAAATTGACATTGGTACTACTATGTGTGTATAGTTCCGTGCTATTTTCTCACCCATATAGAATGTGAAGCTACTGTGGCAATCAAGATGCAGCGCTACCCCAATGCTAATTTTTTTTCTTTTTCTTTGAGATAGAGTATAAATCTGTCACCAGGCTGAAATGCAGTGGTGCAGCCTTCGCTCACCGCAACCTCTGCCTCCCGGGTTCAAGCAATTCTCCTGCCTCAGCCTCTCAAGCAGCTGGCACTACAGGCACGCACCACCACACTGAGCTAATTTTTGTATTTTTAGTAGAGTTGGGGTTTTTGCCATGTTGGCCAGGATGGTCTCCATCTTTTGACCTGGTGATCTGCCCGCCTCTGTCTGCAGAAGTGCTGGGATTACAGCGTGAGCCACACCGCACCTGGCCTCTTTCCTTCTTTTCTTAAATCCAAATACTTCCAAATAATTTTTATTTATTTTTTTTAGAGATGGGTCTTGCTATGCTGCCCAGGCTGGTCTCAAACATCTGGGCTCAAGAAATCCGCCTGCCTCAGCCTCCCGAAGTGTTGGGATTAGAGGTATGAACCACCACGCCCAGCCAGAATAGCTTTTTTACTCAGGGTAATGCCACTGAGATCCGTCTAAGTTGCTATGTGTGTTCCTTTTCGTTGCTGAGTAATATTCCATGGTTTATTTAACCGTTTACCTACTGAAGGGCATTTTGATTGTCTTTTAGTTTTTTGGCTATAACGTGAAGCTGCTATGAACAGACATGTGCAGGTTTTACTGTGGATGTAAGTTTGCCTTTCTTTGGGGTAGATGCCGAGTAGCATGACTGCTAGGTTATATGGTAAGTGTATGTTTAGTTTTTTTTTTTTTGAGATGGAGTCTCTCTCTGTTGCCCAGGCTGGAGTGCAGTGGCATGATCTCAGCTCACCGCAACTTTCCCGGCTTCCAGTAATTCTCCTGCCTAAGTCTCCTGAGTAGCTGGGACTATAGGTACCTGCCACATGCCCAGCTAATTTTTTTGTATTTTTGGTAGAGACGAGGTTTCACCTGTTGGCCCAGATGGTGTTGATCTCCTGACCTCGTGATCCACCTGCCTCGGCCTCCCAAAGTGCTGGGATTACAGGCTTGAGCCACCCCGCCCAGCCCTAAATTTAGTTTTTTTTTTAAAGAAACTGGCCGGGTGCGGTGGCTCAAGCCTGTAATCCCAGCACTTTGGGAGGCCAAGGGGAGTGGATCACGAGGTCAAGAGATCGAGACCATCCTGGTCAATATGGTGAAACCCCGTCTCTACTAAAAATACAAAAAATTAGCTGGGCACGGTGGCGCGTGCCTGTAATCCCAGCTACTCAGGAGGCTGAAACAGGAGAATTGCCTGAACCAGGAGGCGGAGGTTGCGGTGAGCCGAGATTGCGCCATTGCACTCCAGCCTGGGTAACAAGAGCGAAACTCCGTCTCAAAAAAAAAAAAAAAAAAAAAAGAAACTACCAGATGATTTCCAAAGTAACTGTGTTGTACTCCATTCCTAACAGCAACGTGTGAGTGACTTGGTTTCTCCGCATCCTCACCAGCATTTGTTTTATCGCTATTGTTTTTGTAGCTGTTGTATCATAATAGGCATGCAGCGATGTCTCACTGAGGCCTTAACTGGCTTTTTCCTTATGGCTGGTTGAACGTGTTCTTAGACGCCTATTTGCCGTCTGTATAACTTCTTTAATGAAATGTCTCTTCACGTGTTTTGCAGATTTTCTAATCTGATTAGTGTTGAGTATTGAGAATTCTTTATATAATTTAGATACAAATTGTCTGTTGGATGCTTTGTTAGATAATTTGCAAATATGTTCCCTCCTCTGCGGCTTATCTTTTCATCTCTTATCGGGGTGTTTGGCAGAGCAAAAGTTTGAAATTTTGACGAAATCTGCTTTATCCATTTTTTCCTATCTGGATCATGCTTTTGCGTTAGGTCTAAGGACTCTGCCTGGCCCTAGATACTAACGATTTTCTCCTTTGCTTTTTTTCCTGACAGTTTTATAATTTCACATTTTGTGTTTAAGTCTTGCATCCATCCTGAGTTAACTCTGCATAAAGTGTGAGGCTTAATGCGAGGGTCGATTGTTTTTGGCCTGTAGCTGTCTGATGGCTCCAGCACCGATTGTTTGAAAAGGCATCCAGTGACTTATATGCGCATCTTTGTAAAATGTTGGTTGGATATATCTGTGCGGGTCCTTTTCTGGTCTGTTCTGTTACACTGGTCCAGGTGTCTCTCCGCCAATATCCCAAAATCTCGATTATCGCAGCTACGTAACGTTTTAAAATCAGGTAGAGTGATTCCTCCCACTTTAGCATTATTCCCCAAAATTGTTTTGGGTTTTATTTTTTATTTTTATTTTTTGAGGCAGGGTTTTGCTCTTGTTGCCCAGGCTGGAGGGCAATAGCACAATCATGGCCCCCAAAGCAACCTCGAGGGGCCACGGGGGCTTCTTCCTTGTTTCTGATCTGTGTGCTTTCTTTTCTTTTCTTGCTGTACTTCTCTGGCT